CAACAAATGTCTCTTGTTTGGAACAGTTGCTATGAGAAGGGGTTTTTTTTTTTTTTTTTTTTTCTGTCTCAAAAGAATACGGCGGTATAGCTTAGTTTTGAAAAGCTGTAACTCTCTGGAAAGGACACACACTGCCATGTTTAATGAAAAATATAATGGCAGCATATCATCACAATTATTAAGCACATAGCAATTGATAAGCACAGTGAGGAACGGATTCAACAAGACAAAGATCGAAATACAGCTCAAAGAGATGAAGACTGACAAAAATTCAAGTTTCGAAATTGTCCAGACAGACCTCAACTAGACTGAAACAAGATGGGATCAACGTTAAGGAATATTTGAAAATCTCAACCTTCAGGATTGCTGATGCTCGGTTTCTCACCTCTGTCTTATAAAGCAACAATTTCATGACAAAATAACCCTTATCTGTTTTCAAAATTATCCACCCAGCTCCGGGTTCACTGACCTGGACCCAGGCTCCCCGTGGGACCCTACTGGGAAGCAGAACTGGTGCTGGTGGGGTGAACAAAAGCAATGTTGTAAATAATGGTGTGAGTTAATACAGCTACTGGTTGTTCTGCAAGCGATGTCTACTTAGTTAATCCACATACATCTTTTCCATTTTAGTTTCATTTATTTGTTTAATAAATGAGTATGAAATATCATGTGTGTTTTTAACAGTTTAAGACCAAATGACTTTATCATGTCCTGTTATCCTAAACCCAAGAATCAAAGAAGCATGTACCATGACTCGATGTAATCAAAGCACAACATAATTTAAAAACATGTTGTCAATTAAAAAATGATTAATCTTACTTCCATTATTTTTAAATTTGGATCTTGATTAGAGACTACTTAAATACGAAAGTGAGAAAGAACGCAGCACTAAATTTAGCTAATTCTGGATTTTGAGCTTTAGCTGAATTCATCTGTGGTTTTCCATGTGCTGCTTTTCCACTTCCTGCTGATTAATGTGTTGTAATTATCCTTGTTCATAAAGTTCATTAAAGAAATTCAGCACTAAAATCAGAGATAAATGACTTCAAACTGAATTACCATCAAGTATGACAAATCAATCCTTCTTTGCTTATAATGTAATTTCCACTCATTTGCATGTAATTATTGTGACAGAAGGTATAATCACAATGAAACAGATTCACATGCATTTGTTTACTCATTAGTGAAGTGACGGCTCAAAGACAAAGACAATAAATGTAATGAGTTAAGAGAATGTACTCCATCTAATGTAATCCATGCAGATTTCTTAAGTTAGTAGGCACTTTGTGAAAGCTGCTTATTGATATGGTGGGGTCACTCTGAGGTCCAGAGTGCTTTACAATGGATTACAGCAACTCCACAACTCTCAACAAGCCTGGGCAGTTTAGGCTTTGTCAGAAAAGCAGGCCAGTCATAATCCCCCTGCAAAGTTCTCCTGCTCTCTGAAATAAAAGTCCAGTTAATTCATCTTGCAAATTATATGTCCAATCAAAAATACTTCTAGTAATGGAAATTAGTGTTGAGGCAAGAATCTGAGATTTATCAAAATGTATTTGAATGATCCTGCAGCTGTTCTTGTCCTGCAGTAAGAAGGTCCTGGGTTCGAATCCCAGTCTTTCTACATGGAATCTGCATGTTTTTCTCAAGCATGCTTGGGTTTTCCTCAGGGGCTCCAGCCTCTTTTCACAGTCCAAATGTAAATGTTTGGTTAATTATCTAAAAAGCCTTTTTTGTCTCTTTGTTGCCCTGTGATGGACTGGTAATCAGTCCATAATGAATCCCACGTCTCACTGCTTGAGACAAACACCACCCCTCCTACTACCTTGCAAGGATAAGTGGGTATAGCCGATGAATAAATGAATGAAAATCAGGTAACATATCATTAGGACTCAGGAGCATGCACAGTGCCTCATAAAAGCATGAGGCACTATATTTACAGATGATATGACCCAAAAAAAATCAAGTGCAGTTTGAATAAAATGAGCCTCAAGATGGATCCCTGAGGAACTCCACAGATAACAGGGGGGGTGAGATGGAGAAAAGTCTAATTTCAGCAGACCAGATTCCAAAACATAGTTTGGATGTGAATCAAAATGAAGAAAAAGAAAATCTTGAATCCTAACCCGACTCCAGAGTCAATCTAGAAGAATGTTGTGACCAAACCTTATGAAAAGCTGAAAAAAGATGTTACAAGTGTCTAACGTGTCCCTCCAACTCATGACAAGCAGCTCAAATTCTTATTTAATTTGTGAAATATTAATGTTTTTTTTTTGTTTGTTTTTGTTTTTTTTGCTAGTGTGTACTCTTCTAAAGATGCATTTCCATGGTGACATGGCATGCTACATAAACCACACCAGCCAGAAGTGGCAGAGGCTTACTGGAGCATCACACAAGGTGATAATCTCCAGCACCAACTATATGCAATACAAGATGACTTTATTTCTTAGTTTTGAATTTGTGCCCTCACATAGAAAGACACGCATACACGACCTATAAGTGGAAGTTTTTTGGCCGGGGGAAGGAGACGCTTTTAGCTCTTTATTTCCATATTAAGAGGGCAATAAAGTATGTCAAAAATGAATAAATGTGCAATAAAATAATGTATTATGGAGCTGTAAAACACAGCCATTTCCCAAAGTCTCACATCAACAAAGACACAATGAAACCGATTCCTTTCTTGACTGTACATGCATATTTGGCAGGGAAATACGTTTATTTTCAGTTATCTATGGATACACAAACACAAGAGGATTACAACCTCGCCCGGAAGTTTCCAGTTCACTGATGCAGTTACCTACAGCACTCCCCTCTGTCTCTTTATATGAAGTTTTGCCTTTAGGATGAAGTGATTTCATCTCAAAAAATGGATGCAGACATAAAGCTTTCCGCTAAGCTGCTTAAGATGTTTTTCCTATTACCCAGCATAATACAGCTCAACTTAATGGGATTGTATTCAGGTTTTTGTAAGCTTGTTTTTTTCTTTTCTTTGTTTTTTTCTCTGTGTTTCCCAGCGTTTGTTGCATCTTACAGCAAACAGCTTCTCAATGCTAACTCAGCCAAGGTAGTAACCAAATTAACATTTCAGTGCATGGTGAGGAGTCATCCTGGCAGACTCTGAATACAGGCTAACAAATACGGACATCGGTCAACACTGGACATTTCTGGACACATTTTAAGGTTTACATGCACCAACAACCCTCCTTCCTCGATGCGGATAAAAACAAAAGAATGAAATTCCAGTCTACAAATCAGTGACCAGGGAATGCAAAAGACAAGACAGAAATATCTTCTCTTTGAACAAGGATGACCGCATCACAGTAATTGGTATGTAGCGACCAAAGAACATAATACACTAAAAATAGCGCAAAAAAGACTTATACATGCTATATTTCCACTGACTGAAGGTGAAATCTACTGAAATGCAGCTAATTTGGACACTTTGAAAATAACTCACAAATGACAGTGTTTTGTGTGAGAACAAACAGCAGTAGCTGCAGATGCATGTTTTTTCCCCAACTCATAACAAAGCAATAAGGTCAACACTAGGAGGTGCTTCAAGAGCACGTCCTGTATTTACAGTATTCTGAATCTTTAGTACATGGAGGATTTTAGCCAAACTTTTTCAATAAAAGTTTGAACATTTTTCTCATCGCTATCCAAGGAAGACTGGTCAGAATTGCTGCTTAAAAAGAAAATTGCTTCCTTAAAAAGAAAAACCATAAATCATGAACTGAATCTTTTCTTGCAGCAGCAGCAACATGAAAATCTTTTAGAAAATTTCACCTTCATCATGAGCATAAAAAACTCTCACATTTAATTTTTTTCTTTTTCAAAATGTTATCCTAACAATTCTTACAAAATAAATAGAATCAAACCCTTTTCTTCTTCCCCAAGGATCTTGAGGCACTAGTGGTCTCTATTAATCAGACAGGAAATGGGCAAAGAGAATGGGGAAGACAGGCAGCAAAGGTCTCGAGTTCTGGAACTGAACTGAAGTTGATTACAGAGTCAAAGTTTAAACAAGTATGAGCTGGATATGGATAAGGAGTTTACTAAGCAATCCTGGGACTTTAGCATAATGACAAACTAAAATTTTACTGTTTGGCAACACAAACTCCAGCTGGCTGAAACAAAGGATCATTTAGCAGAGACACACCTCATGCCCAATGTTACGGATCTATGATGCTGTGGGCCCGTTTTTCCTCCAGAGGTTTTATTTGACATACAAATAAAATCCTGGGGTCTTCTAGCAATAAAACTAAAAAAATAGTTCACCATTGGATCTTTTAATAGGACACTGATCCAAATCCAAAATCAGGTTGATTTTGTGTCAGGTTGACCAATCATGGCCATCTCAGCGCAAAGAGAAATGGCCAAAGGTTCCCCTGCATGCTCTAATCTTGTGAAAAAAAAAAACAAAGACTATTTGATGTCCTATTGGTAAAGGACAGAATGTATTCGCAGAAGTGAAAATATTTGTAGAATTTTGTAAAAAATATACATAAATATTTCCTAAAGTGAGTTTTTTCAGTGTAAAATAATGCTACTATAAGAATAGATGCATCATCTTATATTTAATACTTTTTCTCTTAACTAAGGACTCAATTAAATCTGGAGGGTGCTGTAAATTGACAAAAGCTTTTGGAGAGGTACATTTTAGGTATTAATTAAAAAAAGCTTCATCCAAAGTATGTGTTAATCTTTGGTAAAGGCATATTTTTAGAATAACCGTTGCAAAACTGTGGATTAATAAAAAATTAAAAAAAACTAATAAAAAGCTGAAAGATGCTAAAAATAGTTGCGCGACAACATGCTTAAATTTAGTGAGATCATTGGTGATGTTTGAATACTTCACAAGAAATAGTAGCAGGACAAAGTTGCTCTGTGGAGCTGAAAATATTTGGAGCCACTGTTTGTAATTTTGTCTTCAACATTGCAGAATGACGTGCCACAATTGTTCCTCTACAAACAAACTTCGTGAATACCCAGCGCCACTGTACCTGTTTGACTGCCCAGAGCAGGCGGCTGTAGCAGTAGATCATCACGAGGATGGGCAGACCCAGGCAGAAGACAAACAGTGAGATGATGTAGGCATGTGACTCGGCGGTCTTAGCGGTCCAGGAGACGGAGCAGCTCGTTCCAGCCCCCTCTAAGCCGTAGCTGCTCCAGCCAAGCAGAGGAGGCACTGTCCAAAACAAGGAGTAAAGCCAAGACCCCCCAACAGCGAGCAGGGGCTTACGGTAGTCTGGTCCGCGCTTGTTGTAGACAGTCAGAGTGCTGTAGCGGTCGTATGAGAGGATCACCAGTGAGATCAGCGAAACAATACCTGGGGAACAAAGACAGAGACAGACTTTTTTAGATAGCCTTCAAATTCACTAATTTTCCCCTGGGAATTTACTCACAAAGAAGCTAGCGCTGGTACGTCGCTGCTCCTCCAGATATGTGGCTAACAATAACAAACTAGAGACTTTAGCAGCAACCAAAAAATTTCTTATGACAGGTGATTAAATGAAGAGCTCCACTCAACTGTCAGCTAACTCCATTTCTAGCACTCTGAGGTGCAGCAAAGCCTTCGCTGCTACTTGAGTTAATGATTGCTCACTGAGCAATAAATTAAACCTGGTTCATCATTTCCACATGCGCTGATTTATGGTGATATTCTTTTCAAACTCGATTCTCTGACGGGTACTCTGACCACCAACCGCTTTGTTCTTGTCCAGTTTCTCTGAAATCCATGCATTGCTCTCACACATCTCAAACATTTTTGTTTTCGATGTACGGGTTTGAGTAAAGAGGAAAAGTACAAACGATAAACATGGTAAATGGCCAATAGTTGTATAGCGCTTCTGGTTCTGCTCTGCTCTGCATCCCCAGAACCAGAACCAAACTTGGAGAAGCAGCATTTAGATTCTCTGCACCACAAATCTGGAACAAACTGTCAGAAAACGGCAGAACAGCTGAAACACTGGGAGCCTTTACAACAAGATTAGAGTTGCTTTTGAATGTTGGCCAACATGTTTGATGTGTCTTGACCGTTTTGATGATGGCACTCGTCAAAATGTAATGTTTGTCACTGGTTTGTCAATTGTTAACTGTATTTTTGAATGTATTCTTATTCTTGTGTTTTTATTATGCAAGGCACTTTGAACTAAATCAATGAAAAGTAGATCAGACCACTTTGTTAAACACCAACAGCCACGCCAAGTTCAAAGTTACTGTAACCTCCTTTCTTCCCCAATCCTGATACTCAGTTTGCTTACCAGCTTTCTTTAAAGTCTTCTTTCTTTCTAGATGCCTCAAGGCAACAAGTTGCTGCCATCGGATTTCTGATCTGCTGTTATGTAGCTGAACATTTTTCATAAAGGGTATCTGTATGGCGAGTAACTTCACCAGAAAAGTCTGACAAGGAGCTTTAATCAGAGATTAAAGAAAAAGAACCCAGTGAAAGTCTCTCTCCTTCTTGTGCTTTTCCTACTTTGTTCTGTTCGTAACAAGTTGTAGCAGCTCTCAGCTTAGCTGTCACTGCCAAAGGTTTCTAAGATGCACACCCCATGGGAAAAGAGTAAGCAGGAGGTACGGGTGGGTACAGGAGACAAGATCTGCACACATCCAGTGCCTAGTACTTCTCTGGTTTCTGGGAAAGACTCTAGTGGGATTGATGTCAAGTAAAGTAAAGATTAATATCAGATATTCATGCTGCCTTTAGCACTTTGTTTAAGAAAATAGCAGGAGTTTTTTTTGTTGTTTCTTTTTTAAGGTTCAGAAGGACTGAGTTACAACACAGCCAGGGGAGACTTTCATGCTACATGAAGCGTGTAACGAGGATTTCCATTGAGGAATTGCCTCTTTTCCTAAACAGTATGGAAGCTATTAAAATGCTGTCTGTGGCAAAAAAAAAAAAAAAAAAAAAAAGAAAAAAAA